TCTCTCTCTCTCTCTCTCTCTCTCTCTCTCTCTCTCTCTCTCTCTCTGTAAAGCTTCGATTAATTCTGTATTATGTTGGGTAATAGATAAGCGAAAGATTTCAGGGCGTCTTATCCAATAGATGACTTTTAATAGCCCCGTAACTTTGATCGGTAATCGGCCAATCCGAATGAGCTATACTATCGCGAATTTGTAAACTAGCAGTGCAGAGATGTTTAAAAGTAGAAAACAAATTTGCAAACAATATGAAGGTAGCTGCACTTTTAATATGAGCCAGAATTCCAAAAAAATCGATACATTTTGCAAAATATCACTTCGATCAAAGGAAAAATATTTGCATTGGTTTATGATGGAGACGTTTTATTAAAATCAATATTGCAAATGCAAATGTTTTTGTCATTTGCGTTCGGCAAATTTTGAATTTTTTTTAATAAATCAAAAATAATGGACTAATTAAACGAGTATTTCAGCTCAATCAATGCAAATCAATGCCGTTATCTTCTCTTACTACAATTTCAGGCCATCTGCTCATCTTTAATGACTGGGCAAAAATTGTGAGAAATTTTTGGTGCCTGAATATCGTATAGCAAGCTTTATTAAAGATCTAAACCTGACTTCAGAAAAATGGTATGAAAAACACAGGACACTTGATATTCTCGCCCCGAAATCTGAGAAGTTTTGTGGCGAAAAATTTTGCGAAAAATTCTTTTCATAGATCAAAATGGAATATATTGAATTGATTTAATAAAATCAATTTAAATGATAATTTTGAACGGGCGTATCTTTTTCTAATTATAAAAGCAATTTCCTTTTATTTTTATAATTTTGTGATTGTTTTGCATTCATGTATTCGTTTTTAATTTCATTTAAATTCTAGTGCTAACAGTGTTAACATCAAGCATCAAATACAACGAATACGTGACAGATAAAGGTAAAAATATATCAATACCATGCATTGCTGATGGTAACACAATGTGGGTGAAAGAGAATGGCAACAACAGCACCATTGTACAGGTGAATGAATATTAAATATGTATCGAGTGCATTGTTTTATCCTATGAATTATTAATCAACTAGAAGAGAATGTGTGTGTGTGCGTGTGTGTGTGTGCATATTAGAAATCTATGACATTTAATCATAATTGCTATGATTGAGTTATTCTATACGGATGCATTCATAAACATAACTGTGTACGAGCATACACTTACATTACTTACTTATAGATTATTAAGTTGAAAGAAAACTTTTATCCTTAGTCGATAACAATATTTTGTTATATACGTTATTCAGCTTCCGTTGTATAAGTATATTGGAGATTAAATAAAAGCTTTGCTATAGATTGTGAGGTAAGGCATTCAAGTCCCAAACGTAATCTTCAAAAATGCGTTAAAGTGAAATCTTTACAACAACATTGAGCAGAAAAAAAAAACAGAAGTAACAGAAGTCTGGGAAAGTGCCAGTGCAAGATTGATTCTTCATCTCTCATTCATTCATTTGCATTTCTGCAAAATTTTCTCATACAAATTGTCGTCTAATCCGTCATGATTCCATGAATCGATTTAACTATGTCTGTCGGATCATCTTGACAGGCCATTGACATGTAAAATTCGAATTTTAAAATTGGTCTAGAACACAAGCAACTCTTCTTATTTCATTTTTAAATGTTAACAACAAATGAGTCCGCATGGACCCGCTCACATTTATTGTAAATGAAATAACGTTACCGTTTCAATAATGCAAAAGCCTTTAAAGGACTATTGCGATCTTCGTCTTGAATTCGGAAACAAATTAACATAAATTGGATGAGGGTTTCGTCGATTATTTTGAAAAATCTATGTATGAACACAATGCTGTTAAATTTTATGAAAGTAGTAATTGAAAGATATACGATACGATTTGTTACGATATACGGTATGTATACGGTATGGCTATACGTTGACATATTACGTTGCGATGTTCATCAAACTACTTGTCTTTCTTCTTTTATTTTGTTTGTCTCTTGTATACGGCAAAATTTTTCACAACAGACGAATATATATCGTGTATATATAAGCGTTCATATATTTTGGTGGCTTTAGATAAAAATTGCAAACTATTCCTTGTAGGCTGGCAAATACTTGGTGCTGACAAATGTCACAGCTTCTGATAAAGGAGTCTATGTGTGTTTTGCTGCTGTGTTGCCAAGTCGATTGGGTGACGACAACGATTTTAGTATACAAACGACAGAAAGTGAAAAGTTAGCTAATGTTATGGCACACGATGATGAAAGTCAAACGACAACAGCAATATCAAGGGTTAGAACAACGCCGAGCAATGATTCATATGAATTAAGCAGTGTGCACATTAATGCGGACAGCAGTAACCATAACATAAATGCTTCAACTACCTCAATGCTTCCAATGCCTCAAATAAATGCATCATTAACAGCCACAGCGAGAACATCAACAAATGCTATTTTAAGAACTTCAAGTAGTAACGTTACAAGCAACAAAAACATCATCATTAGCGACACTAGCAATAACAGAAGTAGTAATAATTTTAGCCTTACCACGACTACAACAACGCCATCTGAAGTGATTGAGCAAGAGTTTCGGGCATTTCAAAAAGTCAACCTCACCGTACGAACCCCACCTGGCCCTGTAACACAATTGTACTTTAAAGCCTCCACCATATTAGGTTTTCTGGTATGGCGTTTTAATAAAAGCGATTCAGGTGGTTATCCGGTGCGTAGTTTCACCGCCGAATATCGTAATGTTTCATATAAAGAACCGCCATTTAATAACAGCTTTGAGCATCAATGGAGTCGTATGGATCCCATTAATATAGCGCCAAATGTGGTAAGTAATAATATCAAGACATTTTTCAGTTTCGTCATCGACATCTACCCACAATTTCACTATACACAGTCACTCAATTAAAGTGAATATAGAATACATTTGAAAAAAGAAAAAAAAAAACAAAAAACTAAAAATGTAGACAACCAGCAAAGCAAATTAATGAAATTAATTCAATTTTAATAGTAATTAACTTATTAAAAAAGCAGTTGATTATTATTTCTATTAATTATATTTTTTTGTAGTTGCATAAACCATTGTATTATCAAATATAGTATGACGAGTATGTTATTTAATTACTGTAATATAACGTTCATCTATTTTATTTATATAAAGCGACAAATGGAAGTGTATCGCTTGGAACCTAACACCACATATGAATTTCGAATATGGGCTAATAATCAATTGGGCAGTGGTGAAGTGGTAACAACCAATGTAACCACTTTACCCGAAACGAAGGAAGAAGGTAAATAATATTATGTTGTCAATGTGTTGAAAATGTCAGAAAGTATTAGTATTTCAATGCTTTTTTGTTTAGTTTTCAATATATATATATATATATATATATATATATATATATATATATAATATAATTTATAATTTAAGGTCTATCCTTATTTTTTTTATCTTTTTTTTTTTTTTCTCTCCAAACTAATTTTTTAATTTTTTTTTTTTTTTTTTTTTTTTTTTTCTAATACACAACAACTGAAGAGTAAACGAAAGTAAAAGTTGTACAAACTTTTTTATTTTAAATGCGAAGATTTCCTTGAATAGCAAAAACGCGAACAAGTTTAATAATAAATATAATGTGCCCTTTGAAATAAAAGTTTTTTTTTTTTTTTTTTTTTCCAAGTTTAGGTCAAGTGTTTTATTTATATAAATGTTATATAAAACGAAAGAAAACTATTCTCACTTAAAGAAAATACTGAGTGTAACGTAACAGTTTGTTATCAGTATCTACTCATACACGACGTTTATATTTTAGTTCTTTTCACTAAAGAAGCATATCTCTTGACATAGTCAAATAAATGTTTTGTATTTTGCATAAAGACTCGAGACTGTACGGAGTGTTTGTTCTATATTATAATAATATATTTTTTTTTTTTTTTTTTTTTTTTTTTTATTATATATCCATCATGATATTTTATACTCTATTTGTGATATATATTTGTAAAAATGTACAAATACAAATTAAAGATTCCCCAAAGTATATTTATTCTTGATCAGCGTACACGATTGTACACGGTCGTGACAGCCTGTCGTTTCCGATGTTTTTTCTATTAAAATCGCGATCGCCACATCAAAATTGTGACATGGAATTTTTTTCCTAACCCTCATTAGAGTACAGCAGTTATGATATCCAGTCGTCAGTTTTCATTTTAGCAACTTTTATTCCAATTTCTTGTCTTTTCGGAGTCTTTTCGGATAGTATAAAATTTTTATCTCAAACTTGTTGAACAATTTCAAAAATTTCAAATTCAAATCTATACCCATTTTCGACAGTTGTTTCATTAGGCTCTAAAACATTGACCACTGACTGACTCGTGCTGAAGACAGCATTCTGGAAGAATAAATATTTGTATTTGTTATTTTAACATTTCCGTAATTGACAATTACCTTAGTCTTTACCTTACCTCTAACAGAAAGTCCATATTATATTTGGAAATTTAGTGTCAATCGTAAAGTGATGACTTCATGTCATTTCGATCATTTGTTCACACAGCTTGTAAAAGCCACGAGACAGAGGCTATCTTCATTTGTCGATTGAATTTAAACATACTGTTATGTTAATTGTTCTTCGTTAAGTTCGTAATAAAAAAACAATTTGTCCTCGGTTTCCGGATGATGGTGAATGTTTGTCGCGCTCGTTCATTGTGATGTAAAAATGTCACCGCGTCACTTAATTCGGAGTGCTAGCGAAATTGCATTAACCGAATTTTGAATAGCTGCTCCATCCATTGTATTCTCAAATGCCTGCGACGTGTGCACGCTAATCATTCTGTTGCAATGAGTTGTTGAAATTCGGAGCAAATGTATTACCTAAACTATACGCAGAATCTAATTAAAGAAAATTTTTGGATCTCGCCAATGATCTGCAAAAATGTAATCTTAAAAATTGAACGGTGACGTAAAGATAATCATACTAAATAGCTATTAATGAAACTCTTCTTATATTTTTACATTATTCATATATAATGCATACTTCGCGGTATTTACAAACCACATTTCATTTCCTACAGAAATTTAATTTCCTACAGTCTAGGATAGAATTTTTTCATAACTATATTCCTCGATAAATTTTGATCTAATCCCACTGTTTGATTGTTTATTCTGCCGTCTCTTTCAAACATGCTCTTCAGTACTAACCACGAATAGTTGACCGCAGTCGAATGATATCAATTGTCCTTTAAGATTACGATTTGGCATCATCGTTTGCCAAAATGTCGAATTAAATGAATTTGGTAAGATGTACGGTTGTTGATTATCTAAATACAATAAATTTGCTTGTTAACGAACGAGCCCTTGAAATAAAATGTTAATAGTGCTTTTGTTCAGAACCGTTGAAATTCAAGTTACATTCTACGAAATATTTATTCGGCTTGAGCTTTTAATGCAATATATCGCAAACTATTTGCAAAAATATTCGTTTGGTCCGAAAGATATATGAGGAATATAAATTAATCGATATATTAGTGTGAATGATGCTTGCATGCATTTTGATCATTTTATCACTTGAAAAAGGCGCTTATTGAGAAAAATTGATCCATTATATATTAATCAAAATATTTTTTATCATTTTGAAAACATGGCGATGCGTTATGATAGGAAAGATATTGGTTTGGCCATTTAAGCACTTTTTCAAAATGTCGAAATCATGTGCCAGCCAAACTATGCTGCATTGATCTGAACAAGTAGCAATCAGAAAGCGCTATGCCTAGTAAGTACGCTGGGTGCGCTAGAACCATTCCATTGAAGCTGTAATAGTGTATCTTTGACTAGTCTTGCAACGTGTGGCTGAACGTTGTCATGCTAGAGGCTGATTTCGGCGTCTGTTAACCGCTATTGCTGGTCATTCAATTTGTTTAATTGAAGTCGTTATATATCTGCGGTGAGAGTATCATTCGGTTTTAGTAGCTCGTAAAACACTACGCTCACTGGTTCCATCATAAGCACAGAAAAAGTTTATTGTCATGAATATTCCGTTTCGGTGTCGATGGGGATGGCTCGCCTGCACTAACCCATGATCTTTCATACTTGAAATTGTCGTAGTAGATGCACGTTTCGTCGCCAGTCGCAATACGGCAGAGGAAACTCGTCTTCTTTGTGCGTTTCACTTAATTCGTATGGTAGCCATTTACCCTCTTTTTGGATCTTTCCCATCGCATGTAAACGTTTGGAAACAGTTGATTGTTCAACTGTTTTGAACGGACAATTGGGATATAAATTTTTAAAGTTATCGCTGATCAAAATATATGCAAGCATCCATTATTATCAGTAACATCCCACTCTTACTTCTTTGCAGCATTCCATTTCGTTAACAAAAAAAAAAAAAAAAAAAAAAAAAAAAAAAAATGGAATATTTGTAAATTATGTAGAGGCCTATACCAATTGATGATTCAATATCAAATTTAGTCACAGCATGCCCCCAATAGAAAGAAGGCATTGTATCTTAATGCTTGCAACTATATGAATTCGGACAATATACTGACAGGTAAAAGAGGACTACAGGTTGAAAAGTTAAATAAACTCCATCTTAAGAATGTAAGAAATACGCATCGATGTCCTTGACGGGTATTACGCGTATTACGAACAAAATAACTAAACTGTCCTTTGGCAAGATATAGGTTTCTTTGTTCTTTTTTTCTTTACTGATTAAAAAGATTTCTTATATTCATTTAATGTTATACTAAGTTTGCAATGGATATATTTGTGACGTTTAAATGTTTAGCAAAATTAGTAAAATAAATGAGTAAAATTTACAAAATCCTTTTTACAATAACTCACTCATGTTAAACACTTTTTCGATGTATTGGATGAATGTTTTAAATAAAAAAAAAAAAAATAAATAATTTAAAAAAATGGTTTACTCCTTCTCCGTATACTCCTTAAATTTTCTTCTTATACTTTTCTCCATTTATTTTAACATAAATAAAAGTGATTTTTTTTTTTATTTTTTATTTCTCATTTAACTACTTTCTATCTATCTAAAGGCGTATCTTATTATCATTGTTATTATATTATTGTGTTTCTATTTAATCTAGATTTAATACGCCTTATACAACCTGATTTAGATAATTTTGATCCACGTATTTGGATAGTTGCTGTCAGTATAGTACTTGGAACCTGTGTGATATTAGCTATTGGATTATGTATAGTTCTATCGAAAGAGTGCTATCAATCATCGCAAGCGGGTACTGAGCTTAATACTAGTACTAATACAACCATACCTTCACCTATTACCACAAACAACACAACTACTGTTATTACAATACTATTACTACTAATGTTACTAGTGCTATACTAATAACACTAATTAAAAACGTTAAATTATAATCGTCGTATGTTGTTGTGTGGATGTTGTTGATGCATAAAATTATTATTATTATTATATTTCAATGTTATTATTTTGCTGAATTTAGTTCCGTTTTAACATGTCAAAGCATTTTAAATTAAACATAGATTAATATTTTCATTTTAATTAATTATGAATTCGTTATATAAGAAGAGCTTATATGAATCTTATGTTACCCAAGCTTTTAGGATATGATGTGTTGTAGTGCGTGTGTTACTTTTGAAGATATTTTTTTTTTTTTTTTTTTTTTTTTTCTGTTAATGTTTTACACACATTTTTTGTTATTGATAAATTATATATCGTTAGCATTATAACTTAATATATTTACATACACATACACCCACTTACATAATAGTTAACAACAATTATTTGTGTTCTTCAACGTGTACATATAAAACAATAGTAAATAGATGCTTTTTTAAAATCTACATTTAATTACAGGTTTCGCCCAAACAATTAGATATATAAGATATATATATTTATATATAAAAAAAAAAAAAACAAACAAACAAGAAATTTTTTTTCTCAAATTATTTAATTTAATATTTGCAAAAATGATTCACATAGCAAAGCCAAATAAGGAAAATGAATCAATGAAGACAATCAATTATTAAATCTTAAAATATATTATCGCAGCACTTTTAAAGCAATTTATTTAATAATAAACTGAGAAATTCTCTTTTAACTTAATAGATGCTAGTACGTGTCGCCTAAGTAAGATGACGTTCAAAAAAAGGGAGAAAGAACAAGTCTCGAAGATTTTGATCAGAGTAACAGATAAAGTAATAAAACTAATACCTCTTGATTATTCAAATCGTGACCATCCATTCTCCGTGTCCATTAATGAAGAAGAAATTTTGCTTCTCGTACACACACACATACACACACATACGCACACACAAATAAAAATTCAATATATTTTAATAATCAAATAAAATTCAAGGATTTTTGACTTTTACATCGAACAAGTTAACACATTATAGTCGGTTAAGGCCGACCATTAAATGCCCTAAACCACTTAATACAATTAATACATTCTTTTATTCACCTCACATTATTGCCATGCACACGCTTACTATTCGTAAGACAACTGACGGTTACTTCGATGGATGGCACAACATCTCAACCAAATTTAGTACAAATGAACCGATTCAATATTTATTATCTTTCATCTCTTTGAGTCATAAAATAATGAAAAGTAGATCCTCCTCCGAAAAATAGACTTATGTGATCCAAGTTTCGTGCGGTAAATTTCTATTTGAAATCAGTGTTTTGCATCAAATTCCATTATAAAATATTATAAAATTGTTGCAGCAAAACTTGCATGTGAAAGGATTCAAAAAATGTTCGCATTCCATCCAAATTTTTCACATTCATTCCGAATATACGAAAATATGACTTTACAATGATTTTTACCGGAATATATAAAAAATTTCCAATTTTTTTTAATGTAATAATTTTTTGAAGTAAAGCCCTAAACAGAGTCCGATGGCTTGACGATGCGTCAGATTTAGTGAATATATTGAAAAAACTTCGATTTGTAAATTCAAAATACGAATATATGGATTGGCATAAGACAGGCAGAGAAGCTCGGAATAGTAAAAGGTGGGCCTACTTCGAGTTCTTTATAGTGTTGCGTACATCCCTTCAAACTTGATATATCCTTTGTACAAGTGGTATGGGGTATTGAATTTGGATTGATATGATGCTTGACCTTCGGATAGAGCAAAGATTCATCCACTCGATACGTTATTCTTACGCTGTATCTTACACATCGTATATCGTATACATTTTAAATCATTTTTTTAATACAAATTGGTAGCAATTTTTATCTCTTTTATATTATATATATAATATATGACTGAACTTGAAAAGACGATTGTCTTCAAAAATTGAGGGAAAAGAGGGAATTCGTCGACGCATCTTTGGAGGAATTTTCTGCGATTTGCAAAATCAATCTGAACTAGTTGAAAATGAGAAGAGAAATTTTGAGAGGAAATTTATCCTTTTAGATAGTATTCTTGGGCAATAGTCGTTATATTAGAGAAAATCAAACCTTCTGACTAGGGGACAATACGAAAACTACACCGTTATTCGCGTTCTCCGGATGTCCGTTTTGCTTTTCAAATATATATTGACAATCGGTGAAACTTCATGAAGCCCCTATAACGATTCGATTATATTTTTAATCACCTATGTATCCATTTCCATCCACACTGCGATCGATTGTTGTTGAAAAATGTTCTGCATTAGTGATTCCAGACTAATTTTGAAATTGGCCACTTAAATTAGTTCGCCAATTTAATTTAATCGCCGAAAATTCCTAAAGGGACTACAATTTCAAAAGGTCGTCATAGCTTTAGAATTTACAATACCTATCGAGAACATTCGATATGTCCGTCTCTTTCAGTATCATTAATTATTGTCATTGTTTATCTAGTGAGGGAATAAAAGTGCCTGACAGCTCTTCCAAAAAGCTGAACTCTAGAAAATGACGACAGCATTAAGACAGCCGAACGATTGTCTCTACTCGAATTCGAAATTTTGTACACATAGAAAAACTTATCGGGAAAGGTAATTGAAGTGCAAGTGAATTGCAATGCATTGTAACTGATTTTCTGGAACACTTCTCTTACAACAATCAGTTACTTGGGATTCAAGACGGAAATAACTTTCGCATGCTAAGATGCATAAAATTGTATGCTACTCACCTTTGCGCTTTTCCAGTAATACATATATTTTTTAATTAGGCCAGCTACTGAGCGGATATCTCCTAAGCACAAGTACGGTGATGGTCAACAAGAATTATCGGTAAGGTCGGGCAACAGGGAATACAGGGAATTACGTTCGAGTTTACAGTAGGCACACTTGGGAAAGGCGAAAAATTGTTTCCGGTAAATAGTTGAAAAGCGTAAAAGTCACATGAATTAGGAGCCAATTGAATATTTTTTGTCGAAGCGCCGTAACACGAAATGTGAATTTTCCCATCTTTTATACCCATCACCGAAAGATTTCAAAATGTTTGCAACGCTCCACAAAAAATTGTGAATACTGTTGCATTCCGTGTTCCCTGTTTTTTGCGCGATATCCATAAAGTAAAACGCCTACATGGTATACATTTCTTTTTCACTTTTATTCCGAAATAAACAAATCTCAGTCGAGATCATCCAGTATTATATCTTTTTTAAGATGACAGTGATGGGTATATGAGATTCGGTAACGACAGAATATAAATTCCTTACTTGTTTTAAATACAAGCAAAGGTTTTTTCTTCTTTTTTAGAGGCAAAATTCGCTCTCTCTTTCTCTCTCTCTCTCTCTCTCTCTCTCTCTCTCCCTCTCCCTCTCTCTCTCTCTCTCTTTCTCTTTTAGTGATGAAATCGTTTTGTTTTTTCTTTTGAAAGGCAACGACCTAAATATTGAAATGAAGCCGCATTTTTCTCATAAATTAGCGCGAATAAAGGAATTAACTTCGCTGAAAATATAGCTGTCCGCAATCTATCCGTCCATATTGAAACTGCGATTATGATTCCAAAAGTTTCTCTAAAAGAATAAACTTTGTTCCACAGTACTTGTTATCACACTCACCAAGTAAGTTTTAAAAATCGTGCAAACACAATTCATTACTATCCGTACACTCCCTATATCCTTAATCGAATTGGAAGGTTTGGCTCACTGATAATCTACCAACGAATATATATGTAACGGAGTATGTAAAGTTAATTTTTAATTTATCTACAATTACCTCGAAAAAATGTTACCTCATTGTATAAACATATATTATTTGAAATATATAGGAAATACGATATTCACGACAAGAATATTGAGCAAGAGTGAATAAATCTTCGCTCCATTCTATCATAAAATATTGTAAACTAATGGTAATGAAAGGTATTAAGGGATTCGGCCCAAGCTAAATAAAAATCATTTTGTGATCTTTAATTATTAATTGACATTATCGGAACCTTAGGGATGCTTCGTATTTGAAATAAGTGCAAAATTTGCAAAGGTTTTTCAAATTTACAGTTAGTTTATTTATTAATAATTAGCATAAAACACACAACGCTTTTTGCACCTTGCTTTAATTAAATATAAAATTTAATTAATTAAATACTTGTACATAAATATTAAATATTATTAAATACTTGTACATAAATTTATATGAATTAAATTTAATGTTATTGCAGAAATGTGTGTGTATCTTTACACACATCTATACATATGCGCTTTATTTTTTCTTGTGCTTTTTCTTGCGTTTTGTTCGTTTCAGAAACTTTTTCCGTTTTTTTCCGTTTCTTTTTTTTTTTTTATTTTTATTTTTTTGTTCGCTTATAATATAAATAAAAGCAAAAAATAAATAAATATATGTATGTATATACGTGAAAGTTTCTCCTTTGGCTTAATTTTGAAAAGATAATTTAAAAAGTTCGTAAATACGGAACGCGCAGAGAATTAAGAGGAGACCGAATTGTGATCAAACTTTAAGGCTGTAAGAAGCTATTGTCTTAATATGAACATAACGTGTGTTCGTTATAAAAGCTTCTTAGTGATATGGTCTCTACTTCTTAGGTTCTCTGCTTGTGCTTGTTTATATGTAGATATATGTATATATATATAGATATTCGTATATATATATATATATATATACATATATACATATATACATATAGTGATATGTATGTATATACATAAAAGTCGTTACTAATTGCTTTTTTTTTTGTCTGTTCTCTAACTAATTTCTTTCTTTTTCATATATTTCTTCTCTTTTCTTTTACTTTCTCACTCTCTCTCTCTATATATATATATATATATATTTTCCACTATCTGTTCTTCTTCTCTTTTTCTGCTTAACGTTTTACAACTGAAATGTGTTTATGGCCGATTGCATTAAATATATCGAATTATTTGTGTATTTAACGCTTATCAATGTATTGTCTGTTTTCTTTTTATTCTTCTTTCTCTTCTTCTTCTTCTTCTTCTCCATCTTGTTCTTGTTCTTGTTCTTCTTCGAAATTCATTTTGATATTTTTTCGCAAAAATAAATACAAATACCATCCATTATTTATCATTTTTAATGCATGATTATATGTCTACATAGAATATGAAGATGGCTGGGATAGCATTGAGCTGATACCAAACATAATTCTTAATCCGGGCTTTTGCGAGGCAGATAATCAACGCGAGGCACCATTTACGCGTACAATTATATTCGGTGAAGATGACGATAGCGATGATAGCTGCGAATCGGAATCGGATCATGAGCCGCGTATGGAAAAATTCAAACGGAAATTATCAGTATTTTTTACAGATCCCACCATCAAACGTATTTGAGAGTACAAAATGCCAGTGGAAACAAAATTGAAATTTTGCTTAATTAAATGGTTGCTTTTTGACGAAACACTTCTAATAAATTCATAGTTTTGAATTTCTATAAAAAGAGATATGTATAAATCATATACGTATACAGATACATACATACATACATACATATATATACACATACACACACATACACACACATAGGCACACATACACACACATACACACACATACACACACATACATAAATAAAACCACAATAAATTCTCACCTGAAAAAGAGGAAGTTAAATAAATTCTAATGCAAATTGTGCTTATGGTTAAAATTAATTCAATATAAGAAAATAATGCGAAAAAGTAATTTATTCAATAATAAAGAAAAAATTGTTAAAAAAAAAAAAAAAAAACAAAAATAATAATAAAATAAAACTACGAGCTTTTGTTAAAATTATATTATTATTATATACATAAGTGTAAACGATTAGTTATTATAAATTAGTAAGCTCTGCATTTAATTAAACTTTAAAAATTTTAATTTGAGATCAATTAACCTCATACCCACCACTGAGGGATTGCGATAAATTAATGCCCTTAGATTATATCTATGAGATCCAGAAATATGTAACGAATGCCGGGTATAAGGTACATATACATATATATATACAAATGTTGAAATTATTAAAAGCTTCATATACGAAAAGCTTAAAGATGTAGTCGGTGGGTATTTAAAACTCGTCTCAGAAAGAAATAACATTTGTGTCGTGTCCTGTATCGACTCCAGAGGGGTAACTTAGAGATGTTGTTTCTAAGTTTCAGCAATGTGCACCATGTGCGTAATTAGTTCGGCGAGCATTTTATTATCAAATAAGCATTTTGTTCACAACAAATGAATCAACAAATTCAACAAAGAGTTGTCTATTGTTGGCTAACTCTTTTTCCACGTTTCCACGTAATTTTTGAATCGCGTATCAAAAAATATATTTCAATTTTGGCGAAATAGGTGAATCGGTGACTTACCAAATCAAGCTGAATCCGCCGGAACACGCAGCATTCAATAGGAATAATGCTAGGAAAATATGGCGAGTGCGATAAATCATTCCATTTGGCCGTGTTCATTTGTAGTCTCTACCGATCGCCCATAATGGAATCATCAATCCAGATCTTAACAGCTCATAGCTTATAATATCCGTTTTGGTCTCATCAGATTGACTATGAACATTGAACCATAAATATTCGATTTTAGTGTTGATGTTGATCTCAACTTGATGGCAACGATTGGGTGGGCATAGCTTATTATTTCGCCTTGTTCGGGTCGTCGTAATATGTCTAACACTGTCACTTCTCACAACTCTTCTTTTCTTGCCCTTGAATCAGTTGCTCGCAGGTAAAGAATTGCATTTTCAACGCGTTGCGGTTTCCATTCATGAATCATTCCCATGAATTTCAATTATAATTGCTTGTCCAGTCAAATCTAATGATCCTGCAAGATCCTCTTGCGTTTAATTGGCAGATGCCAATCGAGCAATGTCTCCAATACTTTGTCTTCGAAATTTTTTGACTCTCCAAAGGTAAAGTTATCTCTAACTTTGAAATCACTATTCTCAAAATATCGGAAAGCCGTTCCTATAGGATTTATCTGCAGGAGCATTGCCACCATCAACTTCCTCAAGCATCCGATTCGTTTAAGCAGCACTTTTCTTCCCAATCAAGTAGAGAAGTAAATTTCGCGCAAATGCTGCTTAGCTAACACAAAATTTGACATACAGTCAACGAGAAAGTTTTTGTATGAAAGTCAAAGTGATATATACAAACTATGCATTGTGGACAGATTTCTAATACCCGCTGATACCATCGAAATTAATCATCACTACGGAACATTCATAATAGGCAGAACCATCAAGAATATATACGCTGCTTTATAGGGTTCCCGAAGCTTACTTCTTAGTGATGAAATCGTTTCCATGAAGTGCGTTGGTCTATCCAAAATTTTTACCCCCGGTATATACTAAAGCCGTGCAAAACCGAAGAATTAAAGTGGTATTAAGCTAGCGACTAAAGCGCTCACTATTAAGAAAGAGAGTTGCATAGAGTACTGCATCTCTAATGATTCGTTAAAATGTTGCGTTCTTACTTGGTTATTGCATCTTGTAGATGGTTACGGTCTTTCTAAAGCTCGGAAGTAGACATGCGAGATCTTATTTAATACTGACAAAATCCAAGGTCTGGGCTCAGCTGATGCTGAACTGATGACGTTTAATTATAACTCTGGTGGGTATCAAAATATTCGGCTCGGGCCGATTGCAACCTTTTGTTTTTTACTTATTCTTTTTAATTGTTTATCAGCGCAATTTTCTAATTTTTAAAAGCATTGGTATTCTTTTGTTAAACATACATATAATTTGATAAAACACTGCCAATTATGTAAATTCCAAAAAAGAAAAAAAAAAAAAAAAAAAAATAAATAAATAAATCAAAAAAATTGGCGAAAAGATATTATTTTATAATTATATGAAAATTTTTAATTTCCTAGGTTTTTAAATTTAAATAAAATTCAATAAAATCTGCAGTGTATTGAAAATATAAAAGATTCCAAAAAATAGAATATATATAATATATATATAAATATATATATATGTAAATATATATATATATATATATATGTATATATGCATATATAAATAATATATAAATATATGTATAATATGAAATAAATATATATTTATACTATGTATGTATATATATATATAATATATATATATATATATCCATATATATATATATAAAAGTGTGTGTATATATATATATATATATATATATATATATATATAAGTTATTTATAAAAGTTATCTTTATAATTATTGCTGTGATAAAATTCAATTGATGACAAAAAAAATTTTATAAAATTTTATGGGAAAAATATGCTGAAGTTATTAAATGTGAACACATATATTAATATATAATTTGTTTAAATAGAAATCACTTAACCTCAAACAAAGCAAATGGGAAAAACAAAAACAAAAAAAAAATAAAAAAACACAAAAGGTATATTTAATAAGTTTGCGTTGCAAAGTAAGCAAATCCTAGCCATGAAAGGCAAAGGTAAAATTTATATTTGATTTTTTTTTTTTTTTGTTTTTTATGCTTTTTTGCTTCATAATATATTATAGATCGTTTAAAACCACGTGAAGACTAAATCGTGTTAATGCGGTTTATGAAAATGTAAAAAAAAATTTGATATTCATGGCCGCTTTGCTAAGTGCATCCAATATTCTCTATAGGTTCTCTAATGAAGAAATTCATTGCTAAGCTTTTTTAGCTTTCATTGTCATAATACGCTTGTTTCTTAATCAGTCGGCGGACTTTCCAGATTACTTTGTAAATTAGTTTTTGACGGAACAAAGATCTTGTCCTTATCTATGTGTATTATAAAATATCGATGGAATAATTAGGCAATTGTGAGTGATCGATCCAATGTTCTGCTTGGTAGAGTAATTTAACTTCCTTTCATATCTGTTTAAGCGGTCTTAAGCTTTAGAAGCGCTATTAACGTCACCGTAAATCAATTTCTTTATTAGCCATCACTACGTCGATCTTTCATCGAAATTCAATTTGATACGAAAGGAAACCACGAATACAAAGTTAAAAATATTGTTAATAAATTTCAGCGAGCAGTTAGATGGTCAATTCGAACTGATTTTAACATTAAGCCATTTTTAGTAGTTAGGAATATTATTTACGAAATATTCATACTCCAAGAATGACGAAAAAATACTTTTTACATCGGTAGTGTTTCTTCTTCAATTATGATTAAATTAGTTTGTATTACAGATATTTGTCAGCTTACATTAAAAGTTTGCCTCTTTAACATTAAGCGAATGCGTAAATACGAATGCACTGTTTATTGTCTTATCTATATGTTGTATGTTGTATGTCAACTATTTCTTACAAGCAAAAAAATTTGTAAATTTCTCTCGCGTATTAATGAAAAATAAACTAAGTGTACGAACCGCATCCATATAACAGTTTCATTGTTTTTAATGGGTCTATCGTTGCCGACTGTGTTTTGAATATTTTCAAATAAGAGAAACAAAAAAAAAAAAAAAAAAAAAATGAAAATTATATACAGGTTGGACTGTATATGTCATTTTCTTTAATCATTGGTTTTCCTACAGAAAGGCATAGGATAAATGATCCAGTAATACTGTTTCCATCATGCGATCATCTTATAAAGACAACTAATTAAGGAATGATAGAATACCCGTCCAGTCCATCTTACCTAAAGATTAGTGGACTCAGTGTGGGGCTGGATACCGTCCAGTGTATCGTTGTATCCTACAATATTCAGAAATATTCAGAAATTGTCAAAAATCGGACAGTATCGGATGATCTAGAAACTTATCGCGCGACTAGCCTGCTGTTGTCAATTCTCAACAACCGCGTTCTTTAATGATCTTTCTGTTTGTGAGAATTAGAAATGCCTTTTAAAAATCCTATAACTTATTTATATATGTACGTGTGTTCATCCGCCTCACATACTGATATATCAACGTGAGGCGTAGAAAATTTTATTTTCATTTTCAAATCATAGAATAAATTTAAAAACAGACAAAGTCTGCCCACAAGCACACCAATGAACGGTAAATGCTACGGACAATGTATACGGTTTTTGCTTTTTAAAATGATGTCGCCAATAATAGTCTATAATAAATAGTAATCCACAGCACGGGAGTTATTAAATTTTAATCGGGTCCATCCATAAATTTCACAAAGAACAATGGCAATGGACTAACTAAAGTGATCAGCATTAAAAACAAAATCTTTGAGAACGCGTAACAGAACCAAATTTTATCATTCCAGAAACAGAAAGAAAAAAAAAAAAAAAAAAAAAACAAACGCATACACGGCAGCAGAAAAACAAATAAGCAAATAATCTAAACCATTAAAACGTCTAATAAGCACTGGGAGTATTAGTTGCGACAAATATCGATTTAAAGTGCAGTGCAATTTATGTACAAAACGACCCCAAACATCCAAACTGGATACGTCACATTTACGTATCAAAAGCTTTTCTTTTTTAATAAATTTATATATGATATGGCACGACTATCCACGATTCGTCTGAAAGCGGTTACAGTTCGTTTACTTGTTTTTATTTTAATAGCTATCGTCATTGATCG